GTGAGGCAAACATGGTTATCTGTGTTTGTTAAAAGCTCATTGCTCTGATTTTCCTGCATTTACTTTTTTACATTAAAGAAAAAGACATATATTTGGTGTAAAAATATAACCCTTGACCAAAATGAGTTTTTCTACAGTATCCAGGCTTTCAATTCAAGGGTTAGGGTTGAACTTATAAGTTACAGGTTATATATGAAGAGACCTTTCCACTTTCCAATTATTAGGGGGGTTGGATGAAGCAATCTGCATTGTTTTTTCAAATTGAATGTGTATCTTGTTTTTTGACTGTTATGCTGCATGGAAAATATAAGTTTGAAATAAATACTTACTTACTATTTACTCATGAAATTAGATAAGTGTACATTCCTCCCACACTGAGATACATTCAAAGCAAAGCAGTAACATCTGTATGGGCGTCACACATTATCTTTAGGTCTTTAGGTCTTGGTGCATTCACAATTGAGAGAAATATGTGCTAAACGATTTATCCATCTAGAATTCTACATATCAAACAACATAATATCAGGGTTATACAGTATTTCATAAAAGGATAATGTTGTCAAAGGATCAGAGCAATGTGTTTAGTATCTTACAACAGTCAAGTAGCAGTAATGAAGAATGAATTTGAAAAAATATTAGAAAAAGAAATCCATCCTGCCTATAATTGCGTTCTGGAAAGAAACTCCTGTCAAAGTCCCCAAAGCAAAAAGTCTTGGTTCATAATTATCTTGTTTTACTTCTCAAATCTTAACTCCCCAGTTTCCAATTGACAAGTCTTTCCCCTCGCAGCCGTATTTGCTTTCTTCCCGACTGTCTCCAACATGCTTTTTCTAAGTTTGCCAAATGCGGCTTTAATGATGTCGTAATCCAGCTCTGGGTATTATGAGTGATTGTAGTTTACATATGGCTTGTGCACTTCCCTGAGTAAACAATACGCTGGCAACATTTGGGATGGTCCTGCTCAGGGGACACTGTCGAAAAATCAAAACTCCAGCCAAAAAATCCCCTCCAAAACAATATGGCATCCGACTGATGTGAGGCAGGGGGCTAGAGTGGAAAATGGTATACTGTATATGTACAGTATTTACAGTGCCAACCAGGAGACGAGGCTGAGGCCTGTGATCAGAGTCAACAAACTGGATGGAACTCTCTCTGCTGAAACCAAAGCACATAGCAGCAGTTGGTGGAAGTTAGGCCGACTATGCATCTACAGTATATTGTTACGTTCCCCTTGGCTCACGGGGAGGCAAAAAAAAGGAGGGAGGACACGGCGAAGACTTTTAAGGCTCACTGGCCGTTTTATTTAAACAATAATGTGGAATCAGCGTAAATGGTCTGGGATGTGCTGTGGTGCGTGTGTGCGAATGAGTATCAGTGTGATAACCTTATGTGTAAATGGTGCATGTGTAAAAGTGTGGAGCGCCGTGGCTGGCGGCGTGGTGTGCAGGCCCAGACCGATGGACAGGTCCAAGTGTCTGCAATTGGAGAGAGAGCGAACTGCTGCCTGGGACGCCCCTCTTAAAGTCCCAGCGCAGACACTCAGCCAATCCAACCCTGCACACAAGAATGGTTAGAGCAAGGGGAGGAGAGCACGCAATCCCATACCTGGGCGCGTAACAATATGCATTGCGATGCTTTTCAATGCATACAATCCGTTAAATAATTGTTACGGCCACTACCAGGCCGTATAGCCTCTCCTCTCAGATGGGAGCTGCGCTCATTGGTGCGTCAGACGGAGCCGTGCCTTTAAAGCTCTTGTGCAAGCCAGACATTCTTGTTGGCTCATTCCGCTCCCATCCTGCCACTTGCGTGCCCCGCCTCCTTCGGTTTGGTTTGCTCTGGTTTGGTTTGGTTAGTTTTGGTTAGTTTAGGTTGTGGTCTATTTTCTACACACTATTCGACACAGCAGACTTACCTTCACAGCACATACACTCGAACGCACTCACTACAGACTTACACACCCCATTAAAACATTAAGTTTGGTTATTAATAAACATTATTCCGATTGGCAACGGTTTGGCGTGTTTCTGTCATTTCTATTTGAGCCGAGTTATGACATAATGAAAATACATGAGCTGTTGGATGTTATTACTATTGTTAGCAATTTCAGAATTTTGTATCAATTTGTTTTGTTTTTATGGATGGATGAGTTTCTGCTGCTACTGGACACCTAAATTCTATGGTGATCAATAAAGTATCTGTCTATCTATCTACATTATATTCTATAATAATAATAATTGTAATGTATGTTTCTATATTGTAGCTTATGCATTCATGTTATCTTTATCTGGCATCTTGAACTTCCTTGTAACTACTCCATAATGTGCTGACATGGGCCAGTGCTCATCTGCTGCACTAGTTTGGTGAAATGTTTTGTCAGATTGACTCGTTGATTTATAAACTTAGATACTGTTTACCGTGATGTGCTTTGGCCAATGCACAAGAACGTCCCGATGCAATCTCTGTTTCCCAGTGTGTGCACGCATATTTATTAGTGTCTGTGTGCGTGTGTGCAGTGATGTTGCTTTTTCCTTTTGCTGCCTCTCAGCCTCACGGATGATAACGTCTTAGTGGAAACGTGTTTCTGAGACGCACACATAAACCCAGGAGGAGATGATAGCTGAGTAATTTGATGCAGAGATTTTTTCAATATAAATGGTAAATGCTCACATATATAACGCTTTTCTACCTCTTCAAGGCTCTCAAAGCGGTTCTGATCAAGGACCCCACAAACACACAATTTCCTTCACCGGTGTACGCAAACACAAGGAGCGAGTTATGTTAAGTGTCTTTCCCAAGGAGACAACAACAGCATTCACCAATGGGAGTTGGTTTCACACCTACACAAGATGTGGGTCATTCAATACGATCGCTCTACCAATAGTGTTCATGTCGGGTGCAGAAATAGAACTGCCAACCTTAAAAATTAAGAGGACACACACTCCATCAACAAATACAGCTTAAGCGGGGGTTCAGACTGGTAGACTACAGTACACATGCACGGCATCGCACGAGGCTGGCCCTTTCCTTCACATCAGCTACATTAACTCCCCGCAAACAGCCTTCCAAGCCGCAACCACCTCCTCCCCACCTCGAGATTTCAACGCATGCTCACATCCACCTTGCCATGTTGCCACCACCAGTGCTTAGGCCCCGGGGGATCATAATCTGCCCTCAAACATCAATCCGAGCAAGGCCACAGCCGGGGCCTATACTCTAAACTAATAAACCACACGCAAACTTGCAATCAATAAATCTTTTAATACATCTTGGGATATTTCATTACATTTTGTGCATCGCAACGCTTTCTTACACCTCAATTATATCAGAATAACTATTACAGGGGCGAAAGTATGCCGAAGACGACCAAAAGTGATGCAAGAATGTGATAAATGTCTGATCTGTGGGAAAGATCTCAAATTTAATATGTCACCATCTACAAAAAAACAACAACGCTGTACATTTGCATATTTATTTCAGCCTTTTGTACCCTTTCATTTAGAGGGCATTCATTTAAGACCATGCTTTCACTGGAGCGGTTTGATCTCTTGTGTGACATTACGCTTTCCGCAGTGTGCTTAAAACTTTCCAAGGAATAAATTATCTCCTCGCAAGTATATCTTACAAAATACCGAGCTTTCTTTGAAATGAAATATCTGTTTGAAGAGAAGCTCCACTTGGCAGCTGTGCATTAACTATAGATGTGCGCTCTTGTGTTTTGCAACCGCATTTTCGTAAAAGGGCAATTATTGTAGGGGCCAGAATATCTTTTGAAACTTACCCCGATCCTTTTGTGATGTTTTTCTGTCCAAGAACTGTGACTTTTTGGCTGGGGTGAGCTGTGCATGTTCCAAGTGAGTTTTCACATCCAATTCGTGCAAAAATTTGAGCAGTGAGACAACAGATTACAGAAGATCAACTTTGAAGCTAATTGGACTGCACCATAATCACCCCTGACTACTCACACACTTCTAATTTATTGCATTTTCCCGCCAAAAACAAAACACAAACGTGATCGCACACATGCAGCTAAATCGGTAATTCAAGCTAAAAAGACCTCTACTACACACCAGGGCCACTCATCAAGCATCACTTCACGGCTGCATTTAAACAGGGTCCTCGAATCAAGGGGCTATTCGTGCTGCAACCCTCCTCCTCCCTATCACCACCTCATCAGTGGATCGAATCACCATCTTATTGGCTCAGCTTCAATCCTCACCAGGGCTTAGGCCGCGAGGGGTGTGTACGCTCACAATCTCACAATCAAATGCCCTCCTGCATGTGTCGTGCAATATTTCAACATTTCTGCCGAGGTCGAATCCCAAATCTTATTGATCATTTCATGTCTCGAATGCGATAAAGGCACATTACAACAGCATGAGTCTGCCTGGTCTTAATTGCCCAATCATACAGCTATATGTATTCACACACACACACACACACATACACACACAAACACATATAGGACATTCAAGAACACAAGATGCATATTTTTAGCTGAATATTTACTTAGAAATGTCTTATTTTAGAACATGACCTTATTTCCTATATACTGTATGATATGGATGACAGAAAAAGCAACTCTGGTAGAATTTTTTGGATCTGAACCTAAAATGCACAGTTAAATCAAAGCTGTATTGCAGAAATTAACAAAACTGATAGAAAGGCAAGTCAGTTAAAAGGCAGAAGATGTCCAGGGATTCACCATAGCACATTGAATTAGAAAAAAAGATTTAGACAGAAGAGAGGGACTTGTTTGTGCCGATGTTCCTCATATAAGTGTGGATGGAGTTGACTACACCTCAATGAGAAAAACGTTGCGTAATAATGTTCAAAAAGGGACACACAAAAACCATTCAATTACAGTGACAGGAGTACTTGCAATTAGTTACTTATCCTCTTATCTCCAAATTTAGATTTTTAACAATGCACGGAACAACAGTGGTGAAAGCTGATCCTGGATGTGCTACAACAACATGATGCTCCTTTACGTCACTAACCTTGGAGGCGGCGTCGAAGCACACGAAGCCCGTGCTGAAGTCTATGGTCAGCCCCATCAGGTGACTCTCCATGATGCAGGCGTAGGTCTTACACTGGACACAGACACAAGATATTATAACTTGTCACTTTTGTTGTACATAATTATTGTCACTTTTATTGTACATATATCCTGCATGTAACATGTTTGCACATTTCCTCCTTTTGCACAATCTGAGTGTCTTTATCCATGCCAAATGTGACATGTACATTTCTCCTCTGTGAGATAAATAAAGCACATCTTATCTTATCTTATCTCAGAGCGACCGATGTCATAAGGACTCATCAAAGACTCATTCATGCACCATTCTCCTTAATAGATCATTTTGTGTTCCAATCGTATCTATGGCATTTATAATCAACAAACTAGAACGGAAAATAAAATCTGAATGCATCCTTTGCGGGCTTGAGATCACATTTGTTAGAAAAGAGCCAAGAAAACTAGTCTGGGCCTTGCCAAAGCTTATCTCAGGGTTATTCAACATTGGAAAGGTGATGGTCTCAAGAGAACATAAGATTTGTAAACGAGAGAAAGTCTATACATATTTTTGTAACAGGAAGATTGTGCGTTGGCCTGCTTTTCTATAGCTACAGTCACCTAGATTCTGCCTGAGATGTTGCTGCAGTACAGTGTTCATGGTTTTACACTCGTCCAGACCGGAGGAGAGAGGATTCATGGTCCAAACCACACGGATCAGGAAAAAATCCACTGGAACTAACTTTTGGAAAAATGCCAACAAAGCATTCAGCATTTTACTTTGGACTAGAGCAGAGAAAATGGTCCGAACCAAGTGGCTACTCCACCTCTGCTGCGGTGACCTGAAGGGCTGTTTGATATTATTACTATTTTAAGCTGTTTAGAATGATCAATGAATTACTATTTTTTTTTTAGGACACTTGAATTTCTCCTACGGGGGATCAATAAAGTATCTATCTATCTATCTATTGTATCTATCCACCTACCTGTATCCTCTCCACCTCCAGGAACGTGGCCATCTGAAAGGCCTTCTCCCAGGTGAGCAGCTCTCCATCCAGCTCCACACTGAAGAACAGGTCCTCCCCGGTCTCCGTCTGCACGCTGAAGCAGTGGCGCCGCTTATCCACCAAGTCGTTGTCCTGACAGGGAGCGACAGGTGCAGTAATTATGGGAAATAAAGGCAGTAGTTTGCAGGTGTTGGGAGCCGATATAGGCAGAGGATAAGTGCAGGCGAGAGTGTGCTAGTGTGCAGGGATGGGCGGATCTGAAAGCGAGTCTGGGTGCGTTGATAATGATTATGGACTTGTTGTTGAACAAAAAGGTAATGGGAAATTGTCACACTGATGGCATAGAATGTGTAAACTTTGCAACACATTGGCTTGGTTTGGGATAGAGTCAAGACAATAAGTGTAAGGATAGACCTCATTTTCACAGTCACTTTGGCTTAATGCTTAAATCTAGTCTGTGCATTGCTATTCACCCATTGTCCCTCTGTGTGTGCCATGGACGTACAGGTGGGACTCAAATCCCTGGACCTGAGGACTGGTCCCCTGCTGTTGGGAGTTGGCGGTTCAGTGACGCCCCTCGAGACGACTGTTGTGGTGATTTTGGGCGATACCATTTTTTAAAATTTGGTTTGTGCTCACGTTAATTCAAGCCAATTTGATTTGTGTAATTTTTTTAAATCATGCAACTAAACAATAGACTGCATGTGAGAAGTTTACACAAAGCAAGCCTATCCACTTTTACATGTTAATAAAATTATTGAAATGATCAAAACCCGAGCGACATTTAGATTAGACTAAAATCTGAAATGAATTTGCCTTTATGAGATTGATCGCATTTAAATATTATAATTGGTTGTCAGCATTAGTATATATATGTTTTTGTTTATCACTATTGATATTTATTGCATAGGTTGCATCATAATACCTTGTTTATAATTCAATGTCCCTGATTTGATACAGTGAGGCATACAGGTAACAGGCAAGGATTGCTGACTTAATTTAGTTCTTGTGTCCATGAGATCCACTGAGGTGTTACAATGAAGTAAAATAATAATAATAAAAAAAATTGAACAACAAAATTAAAATGACCTGATGAGAGATACTGTATGCATGTGTGATTTTATGTGTGCAATAAAATGACACTGACAATTTTGAACAGACATCATGTAAATCCTTGCAGGTTTTTATAAATCAAACAATATCAAAAGTGAATCTACAACACATTTCATTTCAGTTTCACAGCAAAATGCAAATGCTAAAAACCTGCATTTTTCATCTTGATAATTTGCTCCATAGAAAAACTGCTTTTTGTAACTGGGATTTGATCTTTCTCCAAAAATAAGCAACTTTTCTGTAACTTTTCAAGGACACGAGCGCAAGACTTTCTCCATAATTTAGTTGTGGTTTGGGTGAAGACAGAACGGAGGCCGACTTCTGCAATGCTCCATTCTTCTCTTGGGAACCCGCAGTAACAAGGATCCAGCGGAATGAATGTGTTTTGAGCTTCGCACTTGATTCCATCCAATTAAAACTTGAAATAGAGCAAAACAAAACGCCAATTGTACCATTACCGATGTCTTTAACACCTCTATATATCAAGCATTCTCCGTATATTTCTTGACACAAATAAATGAACGCGAGCATAGCCTGAGGTTCTTAATTATTTGACTAGAATCTGACCTAAAAAAAACCCTCCTTACCTAGAAGTGTATCCTCAGGCTTCAATTAAATCCGGGTTGGAACACTCATGGAAAGCAACTGATGCATTATTCACCATGTCCACTAGCCTGGGTTATTCCAGTTGAAACTTCAAACTTGCTCATCAGTCAGTTTTTGTGTGTTTTTAGCGACTGGCTGCATGCAGTGGCGGACACATCACAGCAGCTTATAGCTTTTGGAGATCATGAAAAAAAGAGGGCAGAAAATCGATCTGCTGTGACCCCGAACCTGGTCTAAATTGCGTTTGACCCGCGTAAAGCCGAGAGCTCACCTTTAGTATCTTGGACATGATTTCATAGACGGTGAAACTCTTCTCCGCTCTGGTCCAGTCCCATGTAGTCACCTGGAAGAGTCACAATTTATATGTTTTGTTTTGTTTTTTATGACATACAGTATGCTACACATGGGAAAAACCTGTATTTTTGAGACAACGCAAGATTTTGGCCACACAAAATTCTGATGTATTTAAATGTTTAGTGATATACATTTTTGATAGATACATTTTGAGTCGATCACTCTCTAGGCATTTTAGCTGCATCGCTAATACTGACACATTTACAGTAATGTTGATTAATGTTAACTGTCCCTATTCAAATAAACTAATAAATACATAAAAATAAAACACATACATAATGAAACAATGGATATTTTTTAGTATAAAGTATTTTTATTTATTTTATTATGACTTTATTGTGTGATCTTCATTAGTAAACACTTTTTTTTTTAACGAGACACATTTTATTTCATTTTTTCCTTTTTGTTTTTCTTGTGTCAATAAAAATCAACTAAAGACACAAGAAAATAGAAACTATGGATTTTTGATTGAAGCATGAAACACCCACATGATCAGGATTTGGGAACAGACAGGACGGAGACAAAACAACAGTGAGAGAAATAATGGAGGGCAGCTCGTCACCCTACCTGTGTGACCGATTTTAGTCTGTCAGATTCTCCAAGACAATATCTCAGACGGACTATTCACTTGGAAAATAAAAAGATCAGTCTTTATGCTGAAATATGTTTGGATATTTCACTGAATATAGTTCCACAATCAATTTTATTTATAGAGTCCTTTACAACACTCAAGGCGACCAAAGTGCTTCACAATAAAAATGACATAAAATCCATTAAAACATGTATGCATTAAAACAAAAAACAGTCAAAAAACATAGTGTTGCCGTGCTAATGAGTGATAAAAGTGTTAAAAGCCAGTCTGAATAAATACGTTAAAATACGCCAAAATCAGTGAGGACTCGCTTGTCAGGGGGCAGCTTGTTCCAGGGTCTGGGTCCAGCGACTGAGAAGGGAGCGGTCTCCCCGGTGTTTTGACCTAGCCCTAGATACTTCCAGGAGGAGTTGAGATGATGACCCTAATGATCTGCCTGAGTCACGAACAGACAAAAGTTCGGACATGTCAACCAGTTAATGTGATCTATGTGTGGTTATATATCATAAATTATGTAACTTTCTGTACTTTTCACATACAATTCCTTAAAGTTAAATTCTATCAAAAATCTATCAAACTAAGATTTATGTATTTCTTGCACCGAACCCAAGTGATAAAAAATACACATCTTTCTGTAGAGAAAAGTTCAGTATAATATGTCAACACAATGAACCAAGAAATTGGAATCCGTCTCTATTCATCAGATTTATGTAGCATAAACATTCGCAACTTTGGGAAAATGTATGGATGATATATGTAAAAACGCAAAACCGTGCAGCCCCTCGCTCCCATTTTAATTTAACCACACGTGTTATTGATCACTTTAACTGGTTGGCATGACTAAAAATTACTCTATTTTTGCGGTCTCACCTTACAGAACACTGAATTATTCAAAGGGCACTGACAGAATGAAAGCCTTTAAAAGCTGGGTTGATGTATGGACTTTCGTAATTCAGAATACATTTGAATTGACTTTGGCTTCGCACACATTGATGAATGAACCCGGAGTCTGGCCGTTATTAGCCTTCTCGCCACGGCCGACGCTGGTAGCCACTTGTAGCATTAGCATTTTCTATTCGTATCGCGACGCAAGCCCCTCCGAAGCTTCCCATCAATCCATTTCCATCTCCTCTCGGCTCGGACAGCTTATCCCTCTTGTCATAATCACTTAAGTGGCTGGCAGAATGTAAACACTTTTAATGGTCTTCATCAATCTGAGGGGAGATCGATGCGCCGCAAATGATTATGAGTGAGCTGCTTCCTATTTTCTCCCCTCGGGTGGAAACGGGAAGACGAAGAAAAATGGTAGACGAGGAGGGGATGTGCCAGAGGGCCGATGTAAAGTCGTGCTCGTTTCCAGGAGGGGGCATCGAGCGCGAGCGAGAGAGAGCACTTCATTAGCCTCTCTTGTGTTTCACGTGTAGGACGTGTGGAGCTGACGTGCTGTTTGCCATTAGCTGATGGAGCTTTGATGTTGGGCCGCATCGATCTTTGTGGAACGCGGCAGCTCGTCCTGTCAAGTTACACATGTTGTGATCTGCATATAACGAAATAAGGAAGAGCCAAATATGGGCGAGGTGCATGGAGATGGATGGTAATTTGCAACTTTGGGAAATGTATGGATGGTGTATGAGAAGTACAAAACCATTCAGCCCATCTCTCCCATTTTAAAAGAACCACACGTGTCATTGATCGTCTTATCTGGTTGCCATGACAAAAGTTAGCGCATTTTTCCAGTGTATTTTTGCAGTCTCACCTGACATAACACTGTCAAATAATATGTTATGATCTGGATACAAATTTGTAGGTTGAGTAACACACTTTTGTTCATGTTTGTATGTACTGCCAGCGGTTACACTATCTCTGCACTCATCTACCAAACATCCAACATTAGCTGCAGGCTGTAGGGCGGTATCCTGCTGTGCCTTTTCTGCAACTAAGCAAGATTATAAATCTCATTTAAGAGCCATGCAAGATTATGTATCTATCTAGTTTCAAGAGTTATTCACTTATTTGAAGACTTTCACTTTTTAGTCTTATTTCACACATGGACCATTACTTTCTCAATTCTAACAACTGATGTTACCTGCTAAACGGCTACCATAGACCGTAAATATTAACGGACGTATTGACGCTCATCACCGCCATTGAAACTAATGTGCCATCACTTTTTTCTTCTATGGGCTTTTTCAAAATGGCAGCGAGTGGCTCCTAAAATGTGAAAAAATGCATTTGCGCATGCCTTAGCTGGCACAAGCCCAATTCATTTAACGAAAGATCATAGCGGCTAAACTAGGCTGGTCCAAAAAGAACAAAACTCCTCTCAGCATTGACAGCATCTGGAACCTAGCGTTGAGCCAAGACTTTTGGACCAGGCTGTTAAGCGTTTGAGAGTAAAAAAGGAACCATAAGAATTCATTGGATAACTCTGTTTGCAGGTACAACACCACCGGCAAGGAGATTTCAAGCATGAATGCACATGTGCTCATGGACCCTTTTTTAGCCGGTGTAACGCCGAGATACACTGTCTTGAAGAGATGCACTGCCTCAGCTGTTTATGATGTAATGCAAACCTGCGCATGCGCGTCTCACGGCAACCGAAGCATACCAAGATGGCGGACCGTGAATTGCCAAAAGTTGAAATACGAACGAATTAAGACACGAATGTCACTTTTAATGCAATTTGAGGCGAGATGTTGATGGTCCCGTTTTGTCACATGTGGGTTTTAAGAGTCAAAGTTTTGTGCAAAGTTTAGTTTAAGCAGTCAACTGCGCCTGTGAAACCACAAAGCTAATGTTTTCATAGCAGTCCGCGGCTGCTGACGTAGGCTGATGACGCGTCCTGTGGCCACTCTACACTCTTACACTGGTCTGTCGGGTTGATAATGGAAAATGGGGAAAAAAATCAATCTAATTAAATATTTTGTTTGAACACACTATTGTTAATCATATTAAATACAGTACGATACATGTATTGAATGAAATTTATTATTTCCATTATCAACCCGACAGACCAGTGTAAGAGTGTAGAGTGGCCACAGGACGCGTCATCAGCCTACGTCAGCAGCCGCGGACTGCTATGAAAACATTAGCTTTGTGGTTTCACAGGCGCAGTTGACTGCTTAAACTAAACTTTGCACAAAACTTCTACTCTTAAAACCCACATGTGACAAAACGGGACCATCAACATCTCGCCTCAAATTGCATTAAAAGTGACATTCGTGTCTTAATTCGTTCATATTTCAACTTTTGGCAATTCACGGTCCGCCATCTTGGTATGCTTCGGTTGCCGTGAGACGCGCATGCGCAGGTTTGCATTACATTATAAACAGCTGAGGCAGTGCATCTCTTCAAGACAGTGTATCTTGGCGTTACACCGGGACCAGCACCCACTGCCGGTTACACAGACAGACGGTCGTGTGCTAGCTCAGTAAAAGGAGCAGCGTGATCTGTGTTGAGCATTGAGTATATTTTGTTATAATCTTACCGGAGGTGCGGTGAACTTGAAGAGCGAGGAGCCCCTGAGAGCAAGGAACTTTGGTGAGTACATTCGATCTTGCACAGAGTCCTGTTCCTTCTCATCCACCCAGCCCATATAAATGATCTGTAAATATATATACAGAAGACACCAATGCAAAACCTTCTACTCGTGCAATTTGAGGGAAACATTGCATACTTCACAACAATTTCCTGGTTTAGACTCTTAGCAGGGGAATAGAGCGGTGAAAGATTGGGGACATATTTCTCATTCGCTTAAAATCCCATGAAGAAATTGTCACGTTAACTCATGTCTGTGTTCGCGGGCAAATGAAAGGGCAACAAAAGAGAAGTGATATTTAGCCTGACACAACTTGTTACGCGCCGGTTCCTCGGTGGATGTGCTGAAGTGATGCAAACGGTCGGCTGCAGTTGCAATAGTTGGTAATAGCAGTTTTTCGTCTGACAAACTGACTGAGTGAATTACGTTAAATGGGTGAAGATTAAAAAGAGTTGTGCTTAGATGCAAACGTAATGTATACTCGCGGTGGAGACGGTTGGCAAAGCTCACCTGCTGGTTGACTGGAAAGTTCCGGTTTATTTTCTTCACCTGTAAAACAAAAAGTGAGATTAAGAAAGCATTCAAAAGGCTGCCTTTGAATCCTTATTCCAATCAATTTCAAGTGCTTTGTGTCAATTTTAAGTTTTAGGTTAATCCTAATTGTAGATAAGGCAAGTATATCTGTAAAGCAGAGTTCACACACAATCATACACAGATATAACATAATTCTTAATATTTAAAATAATTACTTTAAAAAGAGTGGATACAGTCCTTTAGTTGTATGCACAGCTAAAAAGAACTGTTTTTTAACCTGAATTCAAACATTGTCAGAACATTTCTAGATTGTAGCTGCCTCAAAAATCTGAAACGATGCCTCCCCATGTTTAGTCCTGACCCTTGGCATCAGCAGGAGGCCAGTCCCTGTACTCCTCAGTGTCCCAGCAGGAGGCCAGTCCCTGTGCTCCTCAGAGTCCCAGCAGGAGGCCAGTCCCTGTACTCCTCAGTGTCCCAGCAGGAGGCCAGTCCCTGTGCTCCTCAGAGTCCCAGCAGGAGGCCAGTCCCTGTACTCCTCAGAGTCCCAGCAGGAGGCCAGTCCCTGTGCTCCTCAGAGTCCCAGCAGGAGGCCAGTCCCTGTGCTCCTCAGAGTCCCAGCAGGAGGCCAGTCCCTGTACTCCTCAGAGTCCCAGCAGGAGGCCAGTCCCTGTGCTCCTCAGAGTCCCAGCAGGAGGCCAGTCCCTGTGCTCCTCAGAGTCCCAGCAGGAGGCCAGTCCCTGTGCTCCTCAGAGTCCCAGCAGGAGGCCAGTCCCTGTACTCCTCAGAGTCCCAGCAGGAGGCCAGTCCCTGTGCTCCTCAGAGTCCCAGCAGGAGGCCAGTCCCTGTGCTCCTCAGAGTCCCAGCAGGAGGCCAGTCCCTGTGCTCCTCTGAGTCCCAGCAGGAGGCCAGTCCCTGTGCTCCTCTGAGTCCCAGCAGGAGGCCAGTCCCTGTGCTCCTCTGAGTCCCAGCAGGAGGCCAGTCCCTGTGCTCCTCAGAGTCCCAGCAGGAGGCCAGTCCCTGTGCTCCTCTGAGTCCGAGTTGGTCCAGACGGACAAACATACATGTGTACCAGAAACTTTGTAAATATGTGCAGACTTGATTCAATTTGATCAATATATAATCTTAAAACAGATCTTACTTTAATGTTATTTTTTACATAAATATTTACATAATCTTTTGTGAAATACTATGCAAGCCATAATGACAACGCAATTTCCCTTGTGGATCAATAAAGTCTGTCTGAGTCTAAGTCTTAAGAATAGACTGATTGTTCAGTTTCAAACCTTATCTAACCACATTTTGTCTATTTTTTATTTTTAGCAGAACCATTTGAGCTCCTTTCATTGCAGTGGCCTCAAATCTAGATGTGGGTTATTCAAAGAGACTTTCATACATTGCATTAAAAATCATATGTTGTTAACAGCAGCTAAAAGTGTGAATGTATCTGATCGCTCATTCTCTTCCAAAGCACCTCGCTAGCTATAATAATATTGTATAATGGAAGGTAGTAATAAGAGGAATGTGGCAATTGCTTTTGGCCTGGTCTCTTCAAACACCAGTCCAAAATTGCTCCAGTGATGACTTTAAAATGAAGTCCTGACCGCATATGTTTCTCAATGTTGGTGCATGAGTAAGCGGAAGATGTGGGAAAGATCAAATCGGCAATAGCTAGTTCATTCATCCCTTCCGGCGCCAGCTCCCGCTGTGCAGCTCGTCACTTTGGCTCTCTTCTCTTTCCGACCCTTTCTCTATTTATTTCTTGTAGATGTGCTTTTTTATTTTTATTTTTCGTAGACAAGCGTTTATTTGTGCATTGTGCACACGGGAAGCCTAGCCTCGTGGACTTTCTCACTGGATTAACATGTCTTCGGCACTTTTTTCGGAGTCCTCCGCTCACAGAGCCACGAGACCAGCGTGTCCCATTGTTTACACACGGGAGCAGCTTCTCGGACTTAGAGACTCCGCAATCCGGCATTCAGAGAAGCCGGTGATCCCCGTGGAGATCCGTAGGAGACACAGGGGCTCCAAAGGAGGCTGAAAGAGGAAGAAGAGACCGTATCTCCCCTCCATCCTCATGGGGAACGTACGGTCCATCTCTAATAAGACTGAGGAGCTGACCGCACTGGTCCGCCATCATAAAGAGTACAGACAATGTGGACTTATGTGTTTCTCTGAGACGTGGCTGTGTGGGAATATACCGGACTCTGTGGTCGCGCTGGAGGGCTTTAAACTTGTGCGAGCGGACCACTGCGCGGAGGGGAGTGGGAAGAGGAAAGGCGGGGGTGTCGCGGTCTACGTGAACGAGCAGTGGTGCATCCCGACGCACGTGCATGTGGTTCAGCGTACATGCACCCAGGACCTGGAGCTGCTCGCTGTGAGCATGAGACCCAGGTATCTGCCGCGGGAGTTTTCACACACCGTGGTTCTATGTGTTTACATCCCCCCGTCAGGAGACGGGGCCGCGGCATGTGAGGGGATACACAGAACTGTGACCCAGATCCAGACCCGCAGTCCCCGCGCTCTGATTCTGATCAGCGGGGACTTTAACCACGCCTCCCTCTCCGCCACTCTCCCGACATTCAAACAGTATGTCACATGCCCAACTCGTGGCAATAAGACTCTGGACCTACTGTATGTTAATGTGCGGGACGCATACGCCTCCTCCCCCCTCCCCCCTCTCGGACTTTCTGATCACAGCCTGGTCCGTCTGTCTCCGGAATACACACCAGTGGTGAGAAGAAATCCAGCGCAGAAGAGGATTGTAAAAGTGTGGAGCGATGATGTGGATGAGATGGTGAGAGATTGTTTTCAAAACACTGATTGGGAAATGATCTGCAGCTCTCATGGTGAGGACATCGAGAGCCTGACACACTGCATTACAGACTATATTCTCTTCTGTGTGGATAACACTGCACCAACTAAGAAGGTGCAGTGTTTTTCTAACAACCACCCATGGGTGACCCCTGAACTTAAAGCCCTCCTGAACCTCAAGAAAAGGGCTTTCATCTCAGGGGACAGGGAGGAGCAGAAGAGGATCCAGCACGAGCTCCAGTGGAGGATCAGGAGGGCCAAGAAGGACTATGGGAAAAAGCTGGAGCTGGCCCAGGGAAACGCCCGCAACGTGTGGAGAGGCCTAAAGAACATCTCCGGCTTTGGACAGAGTGCCAGAGGAACAGCGGATGGAGACCAGCACCGGGCGGATGAATTTAACCAGTACTTCAACCGGTTTGATTCTCCCCCTCTCCATCTGCCCCCCCTCCCGCCCCCACCTCTTCACACGTCCCCAGCCCAGTGGACACCGCCCAGTGGACACTGCCTCCGGCTGCCCTGGGCCCTCCTGCCCCCGCATCCTCAGCCCCCACCTCGGACAGTACACCCCGGTCCCCCCCCCTCTCCATCACACCGGACCAGGTGAGGAGTCAGCTCCAGCGTCTGAAGCTGAGGAAATCCGCAGGACCGGACGGGATCAGTCCCAGGCTGCTGAGGACCTGTGCAGACCAGCTCTCTGGGGTTCTCAGCTACATGTACAACCTGAGCCTCAGCCTGGAGAAGGTCCCTGTCCTGTGGAAGACCTCCTGTGTGATCCCGGTTCCAAAAACAGCACACGCCAAGGAACCGGCTCACTACAGACCAGTCGCACTGACCTCCCACCTGATGAAGACCATGGAGCGGCTCATCCTCACCCATCTCCGCTCCGTGGTCAGCCCCACCCTGGACCCGCTGCAGTTCGCCTACAGGCCCAACATCGGAGTAGAGGACGCCGTCATCTACTTCCTGCAGCGGACGCTCTCCCACCTGGAGCCCGCCGGGAGCGCTGTGAGGGTCATGTTTTTCGACTTCTCCAACGCTTTCAATACCATCAGGCCGGCCCTGCTGCGGGGGAAGATGGAGGACGCGGGAGTGGACAGTAGCCTCACTGCATGGACCATCAACTACCTCTCAGACCGACCACAGTACGTGCGGCTGCGCAGCTGTGAGTCTGAGGTGGTAGTCTGCAGCACTGGGGCCCCTCAGGGCACTGTCCTCTCACAGTTTCTCTTCACCATCTACACCTCAGACTTCACACACAACACACACAGCTGTCACCTGCAGAAGTTCTCCGACGACTCCGCCATCGTGGGCTGTGTGTCTGAGGGGAACGAACTGGAATATCGGTCGGTTATCAAGGACTTTGTCGACTGGTGTGAGCGCAACCACTTGTGCTTGAACACCAGTAAGACCAAGGAGATGATCATCGACTTCAGGAGAAAACCACTTACCCACACGCTGCTGAACATCCAGGGGGAGGACATTGAGCTGGTGGACAGCTTCAAGTACCTGGGTGTTCACATTAACAATAAACTGGACTGGTCCCATAATACAAACGCCCTGCACAAGAAGGGCCAAAGTCGCCTCTTCCTTCTGAGGAGGCTGAGGTCCTTCGGAGTGAGCAGGCCTCTGCTCAGGACTTTTTATGACTCTGTGGTAGCTTCTGCCATTTACTACGCTGCCGTGTGCTGGGCCCCGAGCAGCACAGAGCGGGA